GCCGCCGGGTGACAACAAACGCCTGTGGGTGAACCGGAGAGAACTGGACGTGCAGATTTTGTTGACAAAAAGTTTTAAGGGAGGACTTTTACTACTTTAAACTGTTCCTGCGTGTCCGTAATGTGGCCGTTTGTTAGGGGATTTGTACGAAACCTTGCGCCGTAGTTTTAGTTTAACCCCAGGTTAGGTCTGTAAATGATGCTCCGCGTTTTTGAGCGCTAACTCTGGAGACTAGGCCACTTTTTATTATTACAATCCCCCCAACCCCTCCCCCCCAGCAACTGTTGAAATAAGGCATTAACAAAAATCTTCCAGTTCAGGAATGTAGACGTTGCTTAGAAAGCCTGTTTTAACTGTAATTAACGAGACGTTACAGTATTCAGCCTCTCGTAAAGTTTTGCCTCGTTATCCAGGTATAGAGAAGAGTGTTTTGAATCCGCCGTGGTTCCTTTGAAATTGCTTAGCTTTTACCACATTTCAAAGTGTCAGCTTCCTATGACACCAACAGAGGCTGCTATGCAGAGTTATTAGAACTGAGTTACAGAATCATAGAAGTTTTGAACCGAGTTATTCTTCAGCCTCTCCATCTAGTTGGAATAGTTAAGTGTAAATTGGAGCTGTCCGTATTTCTTCCCTTAGCAAATCACAGCTTTGGTGGGAGGGACTTTCAGTGGTAGGCGGGGAACACGCTTACAATAAAATGCCTTGTTATTTTTAAGGCAATGTTGTAAATAGCCTGCCCTAGTCTCTTAAAAGCCCACTGGAGAGGGGAATGGAGGGGTTGGAACTGGTAAATCCATACTAAACGCATACGAAAGTATTGGGGAGCTTTGTGGGGGAGGGCAACGCGGGAGTAAGGATGTCGTGTTTGTATTGGGAAATCTAGACCAACACACTGTCTTGTACGTATTTCATGCTTGTACTTTCTAAGTGATGTTCTATACTATTTAAAAATAGTATGCTTGAAGGACGACAATTGGTAAAATCACTGTATTTACATTGTCTTGACTAAATCTGTTTTGCAAATGGGTAGATGGTCCAGTTGTCCACAAAAGGAGCTAGCGGGTCAGCTTTGTGGACGCTGTAGAAGTCTCAGAAATCTCCGTCCTTCTAAAAACCCGTCGATCGGTGATTTTTCTGCAACAGCTGGAGTTCAGAGAAGGACCTCAGGAAGAACTACCTCATCCAGTGGTAGAGGCAATGTTACTTTCATTCATCAGTTCTGTGCCACCTTCTAAAGGGCAGCCCCAGAGGTAGTTTTTTGTTTGTTTGTTTGGGATTTTTTGTTGTTGTTGTTTTTAATCCGAGCTATACATTTTCTCCCTCCTCCCCTCCCCTCCTCCCCCCATGCACCCCATTTACTCAGATCTTGTCTTTTTTCCTCCTTCCTATGCAGATCCACATACGTCTTTTTTTTTCAAGGTTATTATTTTTATTTTATGCGCATTACTGTTTTGCCTGCATGTATGTCTGTGTGAGGGTATCAGCTCTTGGAGTTACAGACAGTTGTGAGCTGCCATGTGGATACTGGGAATTGAACCTGGGTTCTCTGGTCCCAGTGCTGTTATCCACTGTGCCATCTCCCTAGCCCCTGTATGTCTCTCTTAAGGTCCTCTTTGTTACCTAGGTTCTCTGGGCACCCCAGGTTTTTAAGGATCTGCTTGGGCTGCCAGTGTCCCTGAATGCTACTCTACTGCTCCCTCACTGCTTTAAAGCCGAATGTTACTTGATTTAGTGTTTCATCTCGAAGGCATAATAAAACAGTACTGTTGGAAGTAAAGATAATTGGTGGTGATGCTAAAATTAGGAAGTAAATTTGGCATTGCTTAATGCTTGCCATTCACTTGGCAAATACATTATGTTGGCTAACGTCTAGACTCTGTCGACCTAATTGTGAGAGTGGTGTTTTTTGTTTTTTGTTTTTTTTTTCCTGAAGTTAATTAACAAGTACTTTTTGTTTGTGTGCCAGTATTTGACATACATAGAATTTTTCTGCCTGAAGAACCAAAGCTGTCCTATGTCATAGCAGCAGTGTTTGCATTTCTTGTCGACCCTACAGATACCATTGCAGACCCTACAGATCCCTAAATCAGTTAGGGTAACACAGACCCTGAATGAAAATTGGTTTAGAATGAAGTAGGCCTGGGTTTAGGATATGAAGCTCTCTGCCTCCTGGCACTTATCTGAAGCAGGAATGCTGAGTGCTAGCACTTTCCATTACTAATTAACTGCATCCTACCTCCTGACTCTCTTCTTCTGTTTTATTTTATTTTTTTAAACACTAAAAGTCCCCCAGACAGCACCTCCCCCCTCCCCAGCATTGTCTGTCTCCCTGGATACATTCTTCACTCTTGTGTGTTCAAATCTTTGCACAGAAGTTGGAGACTCCAAGAGTAGCTCCACACTCCTTCAGCAGCCGGAGCCCTTCAGTTCTTCCTGTTGGGGTAGAAGGTTCCTTCCTCTGGAAGGTTTTTCTCTAAGTAGTCTTACACCTGGAAGAATCATGCTCTTGTATCAACAGGCAGGTACACACACTGCTTCTTCGGCTAGGTTGGTCACCTCTGTGATTCTCCTGTGGAGTGTACATTCTGACTCTCCAGTGGGGAATCCAGGGACCTGGGAGAGGGGTGGGTGCAGGGGAGGCACAGGTTGCTCAGAGATGTGGAGCCCTACTGTCCTCTTTAGCTGCTTGCTCTTAGAAACTCTGCAGGGAATTTCTAAGAGCCACTGCATAGACTCCCCAGGGCCTATGGTGACTATTGAACAGTGGGGAAACAGTGTTTTCCTAAACCTCTAGGAAGACAGACATTGCCTGCCTTAGAGACCCTCCTTAGGAAAGGGCATTTTCTGCCTGTGGCGTTCCCCTCTTGGAGGCAGGAAGTAGAGGTATGCAATTCTAACATTTAGTGTCTGGCTCAAGGCCTGGTCTCTTTGCTCCTGATTTAGTTTCATCTTTGGTACTTATAGTGGGATGTGATTTAAATAATAAATGGAGGGTTTTGGTCTAAGAAATATTGTTTTAAAATAATGCCTCCTCCCCCTAAAAAAACCTAAACCATATGAACAAATGAAGAGAACTGATAGCAGGGTGGCACACATTCGCCATTCCAATGCAAGATGTGCTAAGGCAGGTGAGTTGAGTCTGAGGCCAGCCTGGGCCACATAGTTAGACCATATCACAAACAAGGCTGGCAGAATGGCCCGAGCCTAATGACCTGAGTTTGATTCCCCAGAACCTTCATGGCAGAAGGAAAGAAAGAACTGACTCCTGTAAATTGTTCTCCGACCTCCACAGGTATGCTGTGATGTTCACATACATACATACACACACATAAAAACAAATGTAAAACAAGTTTTTTTGTTAGTTTGTTTTCCAAGACAGGGTTTCTCTATAGCTTTGGAGGCTGTCCTGGAACTAGCTATTGTAGATCAGGCTGGTCTCGAACTCACAGAGATTCCGCCTGCCTCTGCTTCCCGATTGCTGGGACTAAAGGCGTGTGCCACCACTGTCTGGAAAAACACAAATTTTAATTAAAAAAAAAAAAAAAAAAAAAACTAAAATAGAGACCCAGTGTGTGAGTCATTAGTACCATCCTACCAGGTATGGGTTTTGTCTGGTTTGCTGGTTGGTGTTTGATGTCTGTATGGCAGCCTGGGTGGGATTAGGAAGCATGAGGAAAAAGGAGAGCAAGGATTCTTGAACATGTGCTAGCATTCTCCAGGATCGGACTGAGGATTGCACTGGGTTTGGTCGGAAGCACAGAAGGAATGCTTAAAATGCCGCACTCGGTTGTTGGTGGCTGCCCAGCTAAGCAGAAGATTCGGTAATGGGCTCCAGTTTTGTGAGTTGTTACAGATTTTTTGTTTGTTCTGGGGTCTTTGTTTTGCTTTGCTTTGAGACAGGGTCTCATTGGGAAGTCCTGGATATCTTGGAACTCGCTGTGTAGACCAGGCTGGTCTGGAACCTTCAGCAGTCTTCTTGTCCTGTCTCTAAGTGCTGGGATTACAGGTGTGAGTTACTAAATTGGTTCAGACTTTCAGTTTCCTTTGAAATATATTTAAATCAGCTGATAATGCCAGATACTTTTCAAAAACTAGATTTACTTTATTTGATATTCTTAAGGGTCGTATTTATAAACTTATTGATGAAGGAAAAATTCCCATCTGTCAGGTCTTGTGAAAATGGTGTGGGAGTAGCTCAGTGTAGCTTATCTCCAGCTGTAGTCTTCATTTGACTAATGAACATTTCCATGAAAAAATTCTTTTAAAAGTTCA